TTTGTTGGTATGGATTTGAAATCAACTGAATAAAAACTATTGATTGTTCCAAATAAAGTAAAACTTTATTCATTGTTTGAATACCATATGCAAACATTTCTATTATTATGGTATTTGATAATTCAACAACAACAACAACAACAATTGATGAAACATTTGTACAAAAAAAATTTTATGTTATGTTTTCACATTGTCAATTCATATGCATACACAATCGATTGTATTATTGGTATTGGAAATGAAATCGTAAGGATGCCATCAACAATGATCATAAATTGTATGATGAATAAAAATTATGAATCAATTAAAATGGTCAAAAAAAAAAAAAAAAAAATTTCATCACTGGACATACACGCTGATTTTTTTTCACGCCTGATATAAGTCATGGAAGATCACAATTATCATTACATACACGCACAAAATGCTAAATACCAGTACCAAAAAAAAAAAAAAACAAGATGATGTGCCATGCAATGATAAATTAGTCATCCATCTTTTTTTTTGTTCTTCTTCGAGGAATACATCAAATTGAGCAATAATTTGATGCTCCAATTAGTTTTCAAACTCCTCACTTATCTATTTAGTCAGTCAGTCAGTTAGTTGTTACGCTCGAGCCTTCTAATTTGTTTCGGTTAGTTTTTTTTACACTAACAATGCGGAATAATATTTAAATATTTGGTTAATGAATTTTTTTTTTCGCCGTTGGTTTATATTCTTCAAAACATAGCACAAATTCTCACACAAGAACAAAGAGAATGAATTTTTATTTCTCACTAAACAAAATAAACTAACACAAGAAGTGTTTTTAATGGATAATAAGAAATAGATGTGTCGATGTGTGTGATCTTTTTTTTCAAAAATTTGTGAAAACAACAAACGAGAAAAGAAAAATTGAAATTGAAATTAATTGTTTATGAATAAAATGAGATCGGGTGTTTTTTTTCTTCTTCATTTTGTTACTGGATTCTTCTTTTCGGTTTTTTTCCTCTCTTTCTCAGTGTCTGTGTGTGTGTGTGCGTTTGGATTCATTGGTACTCTTTATTCTCTTTACTTCAATTTTTTGTTATTTTAATCATACACACACACACACTCATATTGTACAATATGAAGTTTTAAAAATAAACGGTATCATCTTATTGATTCTTAATTCACTAGAAATATAGGAAAGACCACCCAAATGTTGATCGTGTGTTTAGATTAACATAACATGTCTTTTTATTCAATTTGTCGATTTGATGTTGATGATGATTGTACCCAATTATATTTGATAATGATGATGATGATGATAGAACAAAGCGAATGAAATGAAAGGAAATGCAAATCTCATATGTCTTAAATACCACACACACACACACACAGACACACATATTAAACATACAGCATACATTATGCTTATTGTTATACGATCCAAGAAAAAAAACAATGTGAGCATGATATCTAACAACCAAATCTAAAAATTGAAAATTCAAAATAAAACAAAACCGACCATACCGAATCGCTAGCATATATATATTGATGACCGTATCCCAAAAAAAAGAGATGAAAAATATTCCCAAGTTGTGTGACTAAAACAAACAAACAAAAAAAAAACAAGCCGACAAGTGTATTCATAATCATCGAAAAAAAAAAAAATCCAACGGTTTACAACAACAACAACAGCTTTTAATCCATTAACTACAATGACCAGAAAAAAAACAAGCAAACAAACAAACAAACAAACAAAAAAAAATCCAAAATATCAACCAAAACCAAATGGCCCATCTCTTTCGTTTGTTAATGTCCGGAAAAAAATTAAATGAATATAAAAGAAAGAAAGAAAAATGAAGAGGACACCAACACACACACTCACTCACACAAACATGACACATACAGTGCAACAAAAAAAAAAAAAAAAAAATATTTGAATCTTTTTTTTCCCAATCTCAAACGGAAAAACCAAAAACTAATGTGTGCATGTGTGTTTGTGTTTGTTTACACAAGTGTTCATATTTCAAACCAATTCAACAATGATGATGATGATCATGACGAAGACGACGAATATCGGAAAACAAAAGATAACCCGTCAAGATGTAAAAATAACAACAAAATATTTTTTTTTTGTTTTGTTTTGAATTCTGGATTTGCCGACAATTGGATGGGTGGATGCGATATAAATTCTAACCAAGAATTCCGATTTGCTCTGTGGAATCATTATTATTTTCATAATTTTAAATAATAAATCAAATTGTTTTTTCTGTTTGTTTGTTTGTTTGTTTGTATGTTATAAACTTTTCCAAACATTTTTATTTTCTTTGAACCAATAAAAATTAAATATTTTGCATTGAAATGAAATTCATTGATGATAATTGAGATTTGAGCTTCAATTATCATCAATGATGTTGATGATGGTGATGGTGATATCAAATCAAGTTTCTGTTTTGTTCATTCCATTGCCATTTTTGTCGAATAAAAGAGCATAAATTTCATATTGATTAAACAACTGAGTATCGTTTTATTATTATTATTATAATCAATCAAAACGTTTTTTTTGATTAGATAAATTACCAATGAATGATAATCATTTGATTCGAGATTGTTCGATTTTTGGACAACGAAAAAAAAAAAAAAATTTTTGTGAGAGAAAAACACAATCAAATGAATTTTTTTTTTGACTACGAATCCAGTTGTTGTTGTTGCATAATAATATCAAAAATCAGTGATGTCCATTTTTTTTGGCCAGAAAAAAGTTCTTTTCGCACACAATACACCATATACATTGCTGATACATAATATTGAAAGATCCCGCCTCATTTATTGTAATATCCATTTGAGTTTTAGTTTTTTTTTCATTCAAAAAAAAAAAATATCTGTTTAGTGGCTAGTGAAATAGTTATGGCTAAATCAAATACAGCAGTGTGTGTGTGTGTGTGTCGAAACGAAATACGAAACAAGATCCATCCCACAATCATCATCAAACTGGTTAACGTAAAAAAAAAAAATGTAACGTAAAATAGCAGCAGGCTTCATTATGACTATTGCTTCTGCTCCGATTTTTTTTGTTAATATTCAATCATCATTCTGAACAACAACAACAACAACAACATCATTTTCTGGTCGTCGTTGGAGATCATTTTGTTGTTGTTGTAATTTTTTTTTTGACGTTGTTATTTTTATTCCTAGAGCCGCCTAAAAAAAATGTGTATATGATATACTTGGTATATCATATACTTCTATGCCAACTAATTTTTTCATGCTTTATATTATTATTCTGCTATATATGTGTGTGTATATCCAAGTGTAAAATGAAATATTGGATATAATAGAAAAAATTGAAGCGCGTGCGCGAAAAATGATCATCATCATCAACAGATTTATGCCGTAAATTTTTGAAATTGAAGCCAGTTTTTTTTTTGCAAACTATTCATTACTTCCATTATTTCCACAAAATTCACCATTCATACACTACATATTCATTCACTCATTTTTTATGAAAAAAAAAGAAGAAAATTTGTTTGTAATCTGAATCTATTAAGTTGTGTGTGTGTGTGTATGTGATCATTGTCGTCGTTTTATATCGAATGATGATGATCATTATCATATAGACAGTGAATAGAGAGAGCAGAGAGAGAGAAAGAGAAAGAAAGAGATAAAAAATATCAACAGCATCCATCGCATATTATCATCAGCATCATATGGCTACATTCAAACAAAAAAAAAATCTTCATCGGTGGCGGTGGCTTCTGTAATATGGTGATTGTGATAGCGGTGGTGGTGGTGGTGGTGGTGGTGGTGGTGGTGGTAATAATATGAAATGTATCCTATGGTATATCTAAATAGCGCCACTTGATATATTGAATGTGTTAAAGAAAAAGGAGTGAATAAATTATTGAAAATAAGAAGAAGTAGAAGAAGAAAAGAAAATGTGAATATCATATCCGTTTCGATACATGTATAACCATCATTCACATCGAATAATATAATACATACACCCATACCTTAACTGAACAAAATGATCAGCTGTATTCTGGTGTTTGTGTATTGTGTAATATATAATGTTCATTTATCCATGGTTTTCAATTCTTTAAATGTTTTCCATCAAATTACAATTCACAATGTGTCAATTAGTGTTTTGATCATCATGTGTATGTGTTGATCTTCTAAATATTATAATTCTCAATAAAATCAAATTCATTATGATTGACATCTTCTAGCCATATTATTAGTGTTGACAAAAAATATTCGATACAATCATCAATCATCAATCAATGGTATATAAATCTATACCGATTGAATATCATCATATCCGATTTGTAATATATCCTTGTATGCGATTTGTTTTCTGGTGTATATATTAATTTAATCACCATCAACAACAAGTAACAATCATCAAATTACACAAACATTTATTGATTTTGTTCGTTGTTGTTTAATGTCATCACACATATATATCACAATATAATAATAATCATCAACAGATACAACACGCATACATGATTCAATGATTTTTTTTGTTGTTGTTGTTGTTGTTGTTCTGGGTTTAATTCCGTTTGATCTTTTGTTTCAATCAATCAATCAAGACGACTACAACAATAATTCGTCTTTCATTTCAGTTGTTGTTGATAAAATTTAAATTTCGAAAAAAGAGCATAACCAACAACTATAGAAATGTTTTCAATGTGAACATCTTTTTTTTCTCCATTTTTATTAACGTGTTCAAATTTCAATTATCAATCGTCAAATGATCAATATAATGATTATCATCATTTTCATCATTTTGAATTTGAAATGATAGTGTTGTTTCACTGTTTCAACTGTGGGATTTACCAAAACATATGCACACACACACACACTTGTAAGATTATATTTGTAAAACATGGATATATACAACATTTATACAAATAGCAAATGGATCTTGTTTTACATCGTCATTTACATTTTGTCAATATCATATTCGAATTGAATTGAATCATCATTTAATTTTCCAGTATATTCAATATTAGTGATTTTGATTCGTTCATCAAATAAAATTACTGGAAACAAAATTCTTCAGATTACGGATTGTATTAATTTATTTGGATTCTTTTTTCATTAAAGATAATAATAATAATATTATTTTTCTGTGATGATTGTTGGACATATGACGACGATTGCTGATGCTTCCTTACCATCAACAACAACAGCATTATCATCATCGATACAACAACAACAACAACAACAACAATTCACGGTCGGTTCATTATCATCAATGGCCGGTTTAGATCTAAGTGGTCATAATAATAATCATCATCATAATAATACAATACATCATGTTCATCATACACCATCTACATCGACTACAGCAGCAGCATCAGCAGCAACAACAACAACAACAACAATACATAATTTATCCTCATTATCACCATCATCATCTTCATCATCGAAATCATCATCACCATTATCATCAACATCATCAAAATCATTACCATCGACAATAATAACAGCAACAATAAAACAAAATACAATTTCACCAACATTAAAAACAACATTGACCAATAGTATCGGTTTAATTGGTGCAACAACATCATTTTCATCATTATCATCACCGCCATTATCAATAATAAACAATTCTACAGGAATAATTTCAGGATTAATCACCGGAAATAATCAAAATCATTTTGATCATCATCAACAACAATTACATCATTTAAATAATTCATTATCATTATCATCATCATCATCATCAACAACAACAACAACAGCCATGCCTAGTTCATTATCACCAACAATATTATTACCAACATTAGGTTTTACACAGGAACAAGTTGCATGTGTTTGTGAAGTATTGCAACAATCAGGCAATATTGAACGTTTAGGACGATTCTTATGGTCATTACCTGCATGTGAACCATTACATAAGAATGAATCAGTTTTAAAAGCAAAAGCATTGGTTGCATTCCATAGGTAAGTGAACTTTTTTTTTTACCACTCCATACAAACAAACAAAACAGACAAATAAAAGAAAAAAAAACCCAACCAACCAAAAATCAAATAATAAAATATATATATCATTCATAAACATTTTTCTTACTATGCTATGGTCTATGTGTCTTAACACTTTGATCCTCGAATATATAAAAAACGAACGAAATGGAGAAAGAAACAAAAATTTATTGATTGAACTTTGTCCCCATTTTATTCGCATAAAAATAATATTTCCATTACTTTTACAATTAACAAATAACTGAGCAGCACTGAATTTCATTGAGTGTTTTTTTTTTTCCAAGTCTCCAATTGTGTTGTTTGCATTCATTTAATATATGATGAATCTTGTGTGGATATTTACATTGCATCTTTGCTTACATTTTTTTTCTCTCTCTCTCTCATTCGTTGTTATATATGAAGTGTCGGCGATCTTTTTATAATTCATCACAATATTTTGAAACCATGTTTTGTTTGAAAAATCATTTCATCTAACCGTTCAATTCATTCAATCCATTTTTTTTCTCTCATTTCTTGTATTAAGCCATGCGACCATTTTTTTCTGGCAAACTTCAAACCCTCTATGTCTATGTTTAATATTTCCCAACAACAACAACAACAACAACAAAACCACATGAACAAACAAAAATTTTTTTTTTGCTCTGACCAACATGGATCAACTTTTGACTTGAACTACATGACTCTGTACATTTATGGATTTAGAATTATTATTATTTGAGCGGCTGATGCTTTATAAATTTTTTTTTCTCTTGTTCAGTTTTGTTTGATTTAGTCGGTTGATTAGTTCAAATAAAGCGCCAATCTTAAAAGTTTACCAACCAATCAACCAAACAAAACAAAAAAAAAATGAAAGAAAAATACGTACGCGTGTATACCACGTTTATTAGCTTAGATTCGTTATTTTATTCATTTTGGTTTCGCCAGTGATCATCATACCAAATAAATTGTTTGATTTGTTTTTTCCAAAAACTAAAATTCATTCATCCCTTTCAATAAAATCAATACTGTCGATGGATTTGATCATTCATGTTGTTGTTGTTGTTGTTGATTATCATTATTGATGATAATCAATAATGATGTGATATGTATTTGAAACCGTTATCGATTTATATATCAAATTCAAATTTGTTTGGGTGTGTGTATATCAATCAAAATCATTACTATTTGATATGTTTGATAATATTTGGCCAAGATATGTTTTGGATCTGTTTTTTTTTGCCGGTTGTTGTTCTATTTGATCATGATCATAATGACAACCACTACTATTTCCATCACACAATACAAAACAATTCAAAACACAAAACACACATACACATTTGTCATTTGAGAATCATCATTATCATCATCAACATCAAAAAACCATCAAATCTGATCGTAGTTTTTTTGTTCATTCACAATTCTAACAGAAGAGAGAAAAATGCAATCAAATCTATTTGGATACACTGACCATGCTGTCTGTTGAAATGAGAACAACAAATTATCATTGATGATTTTGTTGATTATCATCATGATGATTATGATCAACAAATCATCAGACAATTTTTCGAAACAAAATTATCATGCCACAGAACATTTAATAGTCGGCATTTCGATATATCGGTAATCATTGTCGGTTTTTTTTTCGATGAAATGAAATGTTTTCCATACACACAATTCTGTTTCATTTGATCATGTTTTTCTATGATGTCTGAGTATTTTGTAAATGTTTTTTGTGTATATGTATGTGTGTGTGTGTGTGTGTAAATCTCTCGGATATCATCATCATCATCATCGGTATCTCGGTGATAAAAGTTTTGGTTTTTGATTTCTATTGCCATATCCAAATCAAATGAATATATCGAATATATTGCAATCAATTCATGGGAAATTGGACAAATTACATTATGTGTGTATTGTATATATGTGCTTTATTGTAAATATCAAAACAACCGATCAAAAAAACAACAACAACAACAACAACGAAAACAAAACGAATTATTAAATGATAAAGAAAACGAAACAGAGAACAAAATTTAATATCCTAAACAACTAATTAGTATGTTTTTTTTATTGAATGACCTTTGTTGTTGTTGTTGTTGTTATTGTTGTTGTTTTTCGGTCTTTGGTTGCCATCAACAACAAAATTATTGGTTATTTCCGGTGTTTTAAATCCTTTCAGTTGTTTGTTGTCCATTATGAATGGCCACCTCATTGATGATGGAAAAAAAAGAAGAAGAAAAGAAAAATTGAGACATGATTTATTCGAACACAAATTCATTCATAATGATCAATGATTAATGATATGAATAGTGGTACCAAAAACAAAAAAAAAAATCATTGTAGATAAATGTTTAATGACAAATGATTCAAGAATCTCTTGGCTGATTTTTTTTCAAGATTTATTGATTCCAAATTCGTTCACATTCGAACACACACACACACACAACAGAAGCGTCAATGACTTTTTTTCAGTGTTGAACTATTTGTCACCGAACAAAAACAAAAATCTCATTTAGCTCCAATTACAATCTGATCAGGTTTTCATCAGTATCCAAAGAAACCAAAAAAAAAAAAAAATTTTTTCCTCGTTCTCATCACATATATTTGAGAAAAAAAATTGAATTTTGATTAATTATCACAAGTGTTAATATTTTTGTCCACATATTTCGTTCAGATTTGTAGATTTCAATTTCATCATGAATATCAATCTTTAAAATAATGAAAAAAGCAGAAAAAAATATACTGACTATGATAAGATAATGTCACATCAATTTTTTTTTCTTCAGTACAACAACAACAACAAAAAAATGATGACAAATATCTTTAATAAATTTTTTTTCGCATTATTATTACTAGTATTCACATTGGTCTATGGCTTCAAGGGATATATGTATTCACATTCGTCATGACATGAATCTCTTATCAATTCAATTAGATTTATTTATTATGATTTTTTTTTCTCTCTCTTTCTCTATCGGCTAAACTTGTGATTATGATGATGATGATGATGAAATGAACATGGCAACATTCACGACTAAAATATAAATATTTTTTTGATCTGTTTGTGAATGCATGTTCACCATATGTAATCATCATCATCATCGTTGAATACAACCCAACCAATCAAACGGTCTATATAGATTTTTTTTTTTTTTTTGTAAAAAAAATCCATTCAAATTCAGTAACATTTAGATTTTCCATCTGTTTTTTCTTGGGGAAGGGGGGGTTGTATTAGTATCCATGTTGTTGTTGTTCGAACTTGAAATGAAACTACCCCCCTCCCAAAAAAAAATATGTGCGTGTGTGTGGTGTATTTGTATGAATCCTGAATAAGAATGATAGAGTGATTAATCAATGCTCATATCATAGTGGTGGTTATTGTGGTGGTATACGAGACCTTTGACCTTTTTGATTGCGATCATTCATTTTATTGCTGCATCTATACACAATCATGCTCACACTGTTATCCACCACCGTTAACCTTCGACCGACCAACCAACCAACCAACCAACCAACCGATCGACCGATCAACAACATCATCATGCACTTAATAGCTTAGAAATAGCTCTCTTAAAAAAAAGAAAATCTCTTGATAGTCTAGTACCCTAGATTTTATCGGGTTGTTGTTGTTTTTAATGGCCAAAAAAAAAAAAATTCATTCATGTCGTTCTGGTTTTTTTTTGCTCATAACTCATATTGACCAACAACGATTCAATAAATTTTAATAACATACGAGTTCAAAGTAAACAAAATATTCATTTTACCATTATTATCGATTTTTAATCGATATTATAAAATGTTAACTAATATTAGATGGTAACAACATCCATCTATATTAATAAATAAATGATCATTCATTGAATTTGATACTTTTTTATTGTTAAATGAGCAGAAAATTTTCAAAATTATTTTTACAATTATACTATCAAATCAATAATAATAATAATGATGATGATGATGATGATACCGAAATTGATTGATTGATTTTCAACATTTGGTGTTGTTGGTTCATTTTCGTATTTTTTATTTTATTTTGTTTTCATGATCATATCACAACAACAACAACCATAACAATAACAACGTGAAAAATGATTCGAATCGAATTGAAATGAAAAATTGTTTTTAATGAAATGAATGAGAATAAAAAAATGTAGAAGAAACGTGTTAAGTTCATAGATAGATGAATATCACGTTTTTTTTTGTTTTCAAATTCTCATTATTTTCATTCATTATCATCATCATTCATCAATCTAATAACGTAGAGTAGTAAAAAAAACGACGAAAATTTCAATGTTTTTTGTTGTTGTAGTTGTTTTAAATTTGTTTTGCATTCGGCATTTTTTTTTTTTTTTTGAAAATGAAAACTGAAAAAATTTCCATGTCCAGTTTTTTTTACACTGTATCTTTTTTTGTTCTGTTGTTCATTTCATGTTTTACTAACAGACAAATTGCATTGAATATTAGTAGTGACCATGGCCAGTGGAATCAATCAGTTAATCGATGAATTACATGAATCTTATTCAGATTTATTTTGGTTTTTTTAAATCTTTGATGCAAAAAAAAAAAATTTCTGGTCATGTGAAAATCAGCAATTGACCGTAAGAACAATTTTTCTTTTCTACAAAAAAAAATGTAAACGTTTACGTTACTTATCATTAAACATTCTTTCATTGCAAATGCTTCAAATCAACAAAAACAACAACAACAACAACAACATGATGATGATGATGAGTTCCCGTTATTTTATTTTTGTGGTACAATTTTTTTTCTCTTTCTTTTGAAATTTAATACCCTTCTTTTTGTCTTTAGATGACGATGATGATGATGAACAAACAAACAAACATTTGGTTCACAATCAATGGCAAAAAAAAAGAATTCTACAAGGTCTTTTTTATAATGATAAAATATTCTTCCATCATCAACATTCTATATATATATAAATGATTCGTTTGTGTATGTGTGTGCATGTCAGTCGATCAATGTTGAATCTCAATCATTGAAGAATCCAATGTGTGTGTGTGTGTGTGTGTGTGGACATAGCCAAAGAACACAATGGATCATTTTTGTTCTCAACAGTTAAACTAATGGAAATTGTTGTTGTTGTTGTTGCTGATTTTTTTTTGTTGTTTTTGGTTGGGTAAAATATTTTCTCTCTGTCTCTTCTACTCTCTTTTTTCATCAATGTGAATCAAGAAAAAAAAAGTTTGTACTAGTCAGCAAAAAAAAAAACACACACACACACACACAGACAGACACTAGCAATGAGAATATTTCAAAGAATGAAATGTATGATGTATATATTCTGTTCATCAATTCTACATATAAAATGATGATGATGATGACAACACATTGAAGAATTGAATGAGCAAAAAAAAAAATATACAAAGAGAGCATATACAATATTCTAGATTAACAAAAACAAAATGAAAAGCAAACAATTATTAGCTAAAATGGAGAAAAAAAATAACAACGGTCCCGAGTGTTTGATGTGTATGTGTGTGTGTGTTTTGGTCCTAGCTTCTTCTGTTGTTTTTGTTGTTGTTGTCCATGTCTATCAACATCAATATTTTTTCTTCTTGTTGTTGGTTGAATTGTATTGTATTTGTAGCAAATAAAGAAAAAGAACTGATTGAAACACACACACACACACACACAAGCAGCCATCAACCATTACATACACACTTTTTCCAAATACAAATACAAATCATTTTTTGGTTTTGCCACAAAGTTTTTTTCCTTTTTTCTCTCTCTCTCTCTCTCTCTCTTGCTGATGTTCACATCATATACATTTTTATTTCAAAGAAAAAAAAATGTGAAGAATATATCAAATTTCACTAGCTATACAAAAAAAACAAAATAAATAAATAAATAAAATTTTTGCATTTGGTCATGTATTTGTGGTTATTATCGTCATCATCATCATCATCATCATAATGACGATGATTACAATTGCCAGTCCATTTACAAGAATGTAGAATTTATTGTCTCATCTTGTCTATACAATGTTGAATCATTGTTTTTCATTTTTCATGCATTAATCTTTGTTTTTTTTATTTTGTTTTTTTTAGAGGGAATTTTAAAGAATTGTATAAAATTCTTGAAAGTCATAATTATAGTCCTAATTCACATCCAAAATTGCAATCATTATGGTTAAAAGCTCATTATATTGAAGCTGAACGTGCACGTGGACGGCCATTAGGTGCTGTTGGTAAATATCGTATACGTAGAAAATTTCCATTACCAAGAACAATATGGGATGGTGAAGAAACATCATATTGTTTTAAGGAAAAATCACGTAATGTACTTAGAGAATGGTATTCACAAAATCCATATCCATCACCAAGAGAAAAAAGAGATTTATCTGATGCTACCGGTTTGACAACAACACAAGGTAAAATAGTGTTTTGTATTTTGAAAATCATAATGTGTAAATATATATATAATGTTTAAAACTGTCTATATTTCGTCACAATAGTCAGCAATTGGTTCAAGAATCGTCGTCAACGTGATAGAGCAGCCGAAGCTAAAGATACGTAAGTTTACATTTTTTTAAATTTTTTTCTTTTGAAAAATTCCTTTATTTGTCAAATAAATTCTTTATCTAAAAAAAATTTCTTTTTTTCAATTTGATTTTTTTTGTATTGGAAAAAACCATCGCTCACAGTAGAGATTCAAATGATAAACATAATATTGGAAAAAATTCTGTAAAAGTTACGAATGATTCCTCACATTCAGGTGGTGATTCAACTGATGATGAATTTGAGGAAGGAAATTCTGAACGTACAAGCAGCAGCAATGAAATGAATTCGACGACAACGGCTACTGCCAATAATAATTTAACACCATCTACAACACTTTTAAACCTTAATGGAACAAATGGAACATCACCAGAATTATCTGCATTTTCTGCATTAGCTAATCATCTAAACAATACGGCAACAGTGAATATAGGAACTAATGGTCTAATTGATAGTGGTGGTGGTGGTGGTACTTCAATAACAGGAACAGGAGGAGGAGGTGTATCGAATAGTTTTAGTGCAAATCTAGGAAGTCAATCAGCTCTTTCGGCAGTTACATCAATGTCATCTGCAATGGGCTATCCACATTCGGCATTCCGTTTTGGTTCCCATCATCATACACATCATCATCATCCACATCATCCAACAACTCAAAGTCATTTTAGCCATCATACATTACATCATGCAGCAGCAGCGGCAGCAGCAGCCGGATCTACTACTGGTCATCATCATCATTTAGCCGATGTTGCACCATCCGCTCTAGTCATGCATCATGCCGCAGCAGGTGCTGTAACGAATGCGGAAACAATGTTTCAATTAAGTTCCGTATTATCATCATCAGCAGCTGCATCACTTGCGGCAAATCCATCAGCATTTGATAGTTATAGTAAATATGGTGCAAGTATGGCGGCTGCTGTTGCTGCATTTAGTGGTGCTGCTCGACCACAATTTTGATTCCTTGATTCTTATTCTGTTTTCCAACAATTAATAACACTATTTGAAAAACTTGGACTCATTCAATTGTCTACATTCAACATTTAATGTTATTTTCAATTTCATTAAGAAAAACATTCCACACACACACACACACACACACACAAACACTGAAGATTTGATTATGATATGAAAAAAAACCTGTACAAAATGAAAAAAAATGCCAACTTTTAACCTCAAATCAATTTATGAAACAAACAAACAAACAAACAAAAAAACATTACATCCAAAACAACATGTATGTATGTAGAAACAAAAATCCAAAAAAAACAAAACGAGAGTGATCCACAATACTACATCTCTCATCTCTCTAGCATTAAATATCAATTTTTTTTTTTCTCACAACTAGAAACTGCTCTTTGTTCTTACAACTTTATTGATTTGATTTTGATTTTACCTATTATTTTTTTTCTTCTCGTTTCCATCTATATAATCATCTATATTCTCAATTTCATTTGATCATATTGTATCATTCTGTTCGATCAAAACGAAAATTGTATGAATTCTCAGAAAAAAAATAAAAATAAAAACAAAAAGATTTCTGAATTTTTTTTTTTTTTTTTTGATGACCATAAAAATCAATTTTTTTTCATTGAAAAAAAAATACCGAGAAAAAAAAAAACTAATGGAATTCTAGTTTTAGGCTAATTAGACATTGGATACTAGTATAATAGAATAGTAAAATAAACTAACTAAATACAAAACAAACAATAACAAACAACAACAGCAACAAAAATTGACAAGTGCCAGCATCCAATCATCATGATCATCATTATCATTATCATTTATAGTTAATTATACAGTTGTCTATCATCATCATAACAACAACAACAACAACAACAACAAAAATCAAGGATCACAATACAACTATGGATGTCTTGTTTTTACATTACACTCATTTAAATTTTACAACATTCATACAAACATCAGGAGAGAAAAAAAAACTATGATTGATTTAATAGCCAATATATACAATTTATAATGGGGATCGGTTGCGGGATTTTTATGTAAAAAGAAAAAAAAATGATTTTGATTGACATGCCATAGTCATACCAAAGAAAATGAACGTCATTTATATTTCATCATGTCATCAATTGTCGGTCAAATCTTGTTGTTGTTGATTGACTGTGCAAACATAAACAACAACAACAACAACAACGAAACGATTTGATGACAAGCAATTGTTATTATTATTATTATTTTGTTGTTGTTGTTGATCATCATCGTCATTATCATCGATTTAAGGTTATATTTAAGGCGGTATTGAATATCCATTATTATTTCATTGATTATTATGAGACCATATTTGCCACACACACACACACACACACACACCATATAAATAATATGATGATGATGATGAAAATAATAATGATGATGATGATGATGAGGGTAGAAAGATTATAGGTGTTGTATATGGCCAATGTTATGGAGTTTTTTTTTTCTTTCTCTCTCCAATTTCATGCTATAAACATACACACACACACACATTGAAGGCCAATTATGTCAGTCAATATTTGACAAGAGGAAATCTGTTATTGTTATTTGTATTTTCATTTAAATGATGATGATGGTGGTGGTGGTGGTCAAGGTGAATTTATGTTGTTGCCGTTAAAAAAAAATTCCTATTGTGTATTCGTCTAGTGTCTAGTGTGTCTATGATGTCGTCGACATGTAAAAAGAAAAAAAAAGACAAGTAGTTTACAATTACAGCCAGTAGCATTAAAATACAAAATCATTTCGAATGATTTCAGCACCCAATGGTATAGCCAGATTCAAAAAAAAAAATTCATATGAAAATGATAATTTTTTCCTGATGAATTATAATTACTGCCATGCTGAATGAAAAATCCACAGCCAAAAAAAAAAAAAAAAATCAATTCATTGCTAAAGGGGAACCATGTTATGTGTAGTGACCATCATCAATGACATGTTTTGTGATTGAAAATTGAACAATGACTTAATGATAATAATAATGAAAACCAGCCAAAATGGATAGATGTATATAGTCTGACAACAAATAATTTGTGTTTCTTCAACAACAACAACAACAACAACAAAAGGAAAATTTTCAATCCAAAACAAATTCAAACAATTCAAATGTCTTGAAAATTGAATTTGTTTTGATTACGATTTTCGGGTTTTTTTTTATTGCTAAATACAAAAAAAAAAAAACATAATTCAATCACATTTTTTTTCGGGAAATTCTAAACAAAAACAAAATCATAAATACACTAATAAATCATAACATTCAAATACATCGTTATATCATATAAAAAAAAGATTTAATCGAGATAAACGATTTGTGTAAAAAAAAGAGAAAAAAAAACTCGGTAAATCCATATGACCATTATCATATACGTATAATGGCTATCATTCATATGTGAAAAAAAAATAATAATTTTCATAACTTCCGAAGCTCGTCATTTTCGTACAAAATTTTGGAGTAATTCAAAAATTCAATTCAATTCAATTCTCATTCACTATGTCGGTCGATCGGTCGGTTTGTAATGATGATGATGTGGTAAAAATATGAATGAATAAGTGAATAATTTTTTTTTTTTTTTTTGAATGACAGGTCTTCAGGCTTGTGCCGTAAAACAACAACAGCAACAACAACAACATTTTACGTAAGAAAACACATATATGGAAAGAGGATTGAATCAAAAATCATTCGGAAAGAAAAGAAAAAAGGTAGTAATCTCTCTCTCTCTCTCTCTATGAAGAATATGAGATTTTATTTTATTTTTCATTTTTTTTTCGTTTGCCACACGCAACGATCATCGAATACGACGTCGGCCAATCTGTTTTTATCATCATCATCATCATCATGATATTATCGTTATTTGGTGAAGTGAATGTGGATATTAAAAAAAAAAAAAAAAAAAAAAAAAAAACTAAGAATTTTTTTCCTCCACCATATTCAGAGGATAAAAAAAATCCATAGGAATCCAATTAGTTTGTTATAAGAGAATGAATGAGAAAGAAATTTTCGAAAAAGAAATGAAAAAAATTAAGAAAATTGTAGTACGTGTGTTTGCATATGAAGTATTATTATACCACACCTTGATCATATTTTTTGACGGATTCTTTTCGGAATTTTTGTTTTGTTTTGTTTCAATGCTTATTATGATTCATTTTTTTTTTGTTGTTTTGGTACGTTTTTGTTGTTTCATTGTTTTCAAATTCCTGAATGATATTTTTAACAACTTTGAACAAAACATACACACGGATAAATAAATAAATATATATTCATCGACAGAAAAATATAAACATGGAAGAAAATGTCAATCAAGTTCATAAATATTTTTTCAATATGAAAAAAATAAATTGTCTCAACTATATGTGTTTTTTGTTCAATTTGAAAAATTTTTCAAGTTATTTTTAGTAGCAAAAAAAAGAAAGAAAATTTCAAGAGTAAAAAAAACTAACATCTCTTGTCAATTATCAGAATCTACAATCAAAGAATATAAATACCGGGAGAATCTGAATTGAAAAAAAGAAACAAATTCGTTACATCTGACTATGATGACAAAAAAAAATGAATAAATAAATTCCAGTGACGTAATAGAATAATATTTTTGGCCATGTCGTCGTCTTGCTATATATATATATGAATGATGATTGTCATTTTGGCTTATTTTTTATTTTCATTTTTGTTTTTGTTTTTATCAACAAACTTGATCATTATGGATTTATTTCTGCATATTTTGTTTTTCTCTTTTTAGGTCGAGTAAATTCAATTTATTCAACTTCAATTCATTATACGGAATTGGCGGAAAAATACATAAATTTTATGAATTTTTTTTTCATTGCTAACCATCTCCCATCATCATCCATTTGTCTATCGTTTATCGTATGATGAAAATCTCAACATGCAAAATAAAATGATGTGAAATTCCAATGAGAGAAAAAAAAATGAATTTGTTTGAAATAAAATGGTTCGCAAAAAAATTTGCATGTTTGTGTGTGGTATATCCAAGAATGGATGAATTTTTTTCCCATTCAAAACGAATTGAATGTGATCGATGTGTTAACTAGATCTTGATCATCGATCATAATCAATCGAAAATGAAATTAGATTTTTTTTCTTTTTCTTTATTTTTAAAATCATCACTGTGTGATCATGATAAGTAGCATTATTGTTTGATCTTTTGCCGTGATAGAAATAGATTTTTCTATTGATCAAAATTTTTATTTTTAAAATATCAGAAAAAAATGTTAAATTTAATCGATTTTTTTCTCGATAGAAATTCAAAATCGGATATTGTCTATCAATGTTTTTCTCCATCACTGATCCATTCATTCATTGCCAATACGAAAATTGATCATTTCAGATGATCAATTTCACACGACGAATATTTTTTTTAATTTCAGAATTCCATTTCATAATTGTTGGTTGCCTCATCATACTGATTTGCTGTTTTTTTGGAAAAGTAAAAACTGATATCAATGTAATTTTTAATTAATTAATCTTTTACAAATGAACAAGATGGAATGGCAAAAATAAAAACAAATGTGAAAAACCAGCCAAACAAACACACACACACATACACACACAGGTCAAAAAAAAGTCAATTAACAACATTCGGCAATTCCTATGTGTGTTCATTTCGTTTATTTAGTTTTGTTTCATTACAGAAAAAAAAAGTTTTGTTATCGTTATGTCAGACACATAGACACACACTCGGTTTTGGTCGGATATTGATGTTGTTGTTGATTTCATTTTTTTTACATGATAGATAAATTGTACATTTCTAGTTTTCTCTTGCTCACACACACACACACACACACAGACACAGAAAAAATTATTACAAATCTACCGACTTTTTTTTCACCTGAAGAAAATGAAAATTTTCATTTTCAATCCATAGGAATGAATTAGAGAGAGAGAGAGAGAAAAAAAACAAGAAGCATGAGTAGCATTTCAAATGGAAATTGAATAGACCAATTTTTTTTGTTTTGGAATTTTTTTCAAATGCAAAAAAAAACGCTGCTGCTGTTGTTTTTCATCATTGATGATGATGAGCTTCTGCCGCTCGTGTGAACACACACACACACACACACATACACTGGCCAGAAAAAGGTGGCTAAGTTATTTTTTTTTTTTTGTTCACTGGAT